TATTAAAAACTATTCTAAGACTTGACGAAGATCCTGTTGTTGTTCTAACGACTTAACTTTTTCTATGGATTATTTTCGTAGAAAGAAGCTAGTAAGTGCAATCTTCCAGATTTACAATAATTCGCGTATTGCCTCTAGATGAAGGAGAATACCGGAGGGATTCCGCGGTGATACGCAACCGTCAATCGGCTCATGATTGTTCAACAAACACCAAGATTAAACGCAGCGGTCATGTCCACTCGCCGCAAGAATCAGACGCAAATCGTGCGAATTATCATTGAGGGCTCGAATCCACGCGTCAACAACCGGGCGTTTATGTCCGCTAATATTGACGTTGCGTTAATACTCCAAACCGTGATCTATTATTCCATTAAACAAGATTTCACTCGCGGGAGCGTTTAGGAGCGCCGCACAATAATTTCTAGTTCGTTCAATCGCGAGGCACTCCCGCCGCGCAAAAGCCCGCCAACTTTTTCACGGTGCGCGACCTCCGGTGAATACCTACCGACGCTACCGGTTCGTTCTCGTGAAACTTTTTCCGAAGCTCGAGTTTAAATTGAAAGCGAGCTCTAAGCGCGAGTAAAATCGTCGTACGAATTTCCCGAGCGGGCGCAAAGATAATTCCAAAAGTAAGCGTGTCAACGATCCGAGCGGACGTTAAGTAGGATTTCTGTGGCGAAAATCTGGGGCTGGAGACGTTAAGACCAGCTGGAATTCGAAACGTCGAAACTTTCGGCGCCCATAGCTCACCGGTACGGCAACGTTCGGTCTTCGTGTTCTCCGGAGAATTTAATTGCGCGGAAATAACAATTTATTTGTTTATCGTGCCGAGCGAAACCTATCGGCAAAAAAAAGGGAATAGCGAGATATTTTAAACTTTTATTCGTAACGAGCGGAAAGCAAATTTCCATACGCCAAATGAAACCCGCCGGTATTTGTAATACACGCGGTACGATTACCCGGATAAATAGCGGTTTCGCTGCACTTGCGTTTTCTAATAAAAACGCGTGTTACGCAAAATAAGGTTTCAATGTGCTCTTGCAGCGAGAACAAATCCTAAGATCTAAACAACTTTGCAAAATCGCGAGAGAAAAGATATAACCGTTGGAACAAAGCCGTTATCACATTTCTAATTCTTTCTAATTCTTCCCAGTTAGATCAACGTCCCGAGTAGAAATGAAATCAGGCATTCCTTATGTCAGGGCCTGATAGGGAGGAAGTAAAGAATGCCCCAGGGGGGAAACCGCTGAGGGCATTGTGGTGTACAGATCTGCGGCATTATTGGGTATTACTAGGCATTACTAGGCATTTTTTGGGCATTAGGCCTTGTTGGGGCATTATAAAGATAAAATAAGATAAAGTAATACCCACTGGGCATTAGTGGGCATTGGTGTACAAGATTTTGGTCAGCGGTTTCCCCCTCGTACGAAAATTTCTGCTCGGGTTATTCTACTGAAAAGCGAAGAGTTTTATGACAATTGGTTTGATTAAATGTGCAATCGGTCTGACTAATATTTTCACAAAAATTGATGAATTTTTAATATTTATGGTAAGGTTGTAATATTTATATAATAATGTGAGGTATTAAATTAAATATATTAAAAATTAAACATACAATGTAATATTCAATGAAATATTCAATCTGTCCAGCTAGCCGAAATGTTTTTTTACATCAATACTAAATATTTGATAAATATGGCTTTCAAGGTTATTAATATTTAATAATTTCAACCTTAGTACAGAATGTCCCGTCGTTATTCTCAATACCTCTCTAATCAATCTCTAATTTAACATTAATATCTTTATTTTACCCTTCAGAACTTTGCGCTCAAATAATATACATATTTTAAATTATTAACGCGAATAAAGTAATTGTTAAATCGTCAAACATACCATTCGTAAAATATAGTCATTGTTAAATATATATTACAGTCAGATAAATGCTGTGTATTGGCAATAATTGAGTCATCAGTTTTATCATTATATAATTCGCCTCTGCTCTAGATGGGCGAGGCAAATAAAGAATGTTTTCCATTAACGCTGTCAGCAATATTTGTAGTTTATTTAATCCAGTGGATTTAATACAAACAATAATTGCTACCGAAGCTGATGTTGATTGCTCTGAAATCGAAATTTCGGCGAAATTTATTTAAAGTTTTTCATAAAACTGATGTAAACAAGGTCTGATATTTTCAAACAAAAAGCACGAAAAAATTGCACGGATAAATATTAGATAAACCCTGGCCATATACATTTTAAAATTGAAAATAGTAGGAAAGAGACGCAAATGTCATTTAAAGGTTGTGTAATTTACGTTGCTATATTTGCATTTTTTGTATGAAATTCAAATTGCTTTATTACATATCGCGTCGTACGAATCATGGGAGATGTAAATATTTTATTCGCTCGCTACTATTGCTCGTCACGCTAGCAGAGCAACGGGGCAAACAGCACTAACGAAGCCATGTTTGATTGAACATTAATTATAACTCGCTCAGATTACATCGAGCAGAAAACAGCATAAACGATACATGTGTCGATACACATGATTCTTTTACAGCCCGGTCGTGTGGGGTTATCTTGCATTGCCTTTTCCGTATTGCCACATGGCACACTCGCTACGGATGAGACTTTAGTAGCAGTTCCAATTAACCTAGCGGCCGGAATCAGCTGGATTAACGATCGCAGGAAAGGAACGTGTTTTCCGGGACTCCGCAAATTTTCCCGTGTATTTAATCAGCACGCGCAAACCGTGTAATTGCGCGTTACGCAACTCTCGGACAGATAAGAGTGTTACGCGAGCAAAACACGAGCTTAACTCGTTCGTTATGGAATATAATGCGTCAGGCTGTTAATTTTCTCCAAGTAGCAACGTCTTACGCAATCTGAACTCATTAGCGCTGTCGTCCATTAGTCTTGCCCTCTCTATTACGAACTTTGAGAGTACGTTCGAAAGTGGAAAGTTTGCGCCGAAAAGCCCAGTGGTACAGTCCTTGAATGTCCAGCTACATTCATATCGCAAGTTTGAGAGAAAATTATGATATTAATAACATTTTTCTCATCACCTCGTTGTTGCTAAATAATCATTTCGTAGATTACAATTGTAAGTTATGAAACATTTATTACGGCGCTTTTAGTGTTTCTTAGTTCAATTTAAAACAGTGCATTTATTCCTGTTTTATTCATAAGTTAAAAATTACAGTTTAATTGATTTTTTTTAAACAAAATGCTAATCTTCCTTGCGAAGAAACCGAGGGCGAAACCGCTGAAAATCTTGTACATCAATGCTTACTAATGCCCACTCACCACAATGCCCTCAGCAATTTCCCCCCTTGGAATAAACCTTTATCTTTCTTTGAAAGATAATAAAATGCCAGCATTAAATATCCTTCAAAATGTTATCGAAACGTCGAATCTTATATGAAATTGAGCGAGAAATGAAATTTTGTTATATATTTGCGTACCCGAATATTAATTCATCACAACTCGTTAATTTTCAAAATTAAAGGGCGTCGACGCTGTTTGACAGTTTCGACATTGAAACGAACAATAGCAGCCTCATTTGAAATTTCAGTGTCCACGTTGAGAAAAAAGAATCGATGGTCTATCGATCGGAATAATTTAAAATCACTCCGTGAGTGTCGCTGCCAGGAGTTCGCCGCGAAAATCGAGGTGTCAACGACATACTTTGCCGTGGCGAGCTGCGCGGAATTAGCGGCGGTCGCGTCAGCAATTTTCCACTCCGTACTTTTCTCACGGCGATACCTCCCTCATTTTCGCCGGCGTACGGTGGCGTAAATTTATCGTTCGTGCAGCGCAGCGCAGCGCAACGTCGGGCTTCTCGCTGGCGGGCACCGTCGTCGGCACCCCCCGTGTCGCTCCGAAATTGTTTTGCGCTTCGAAAAGCGTGCAGTATCACGCCCATTCAGAGATCTGATGCGTCGCACCGACCAACTGCGAGCCGCTACGTTGCACGTGCCAGAGCAAACACCATGCGACGCGCCTGCATTTTTCGTGCAGCGCAAACTTTCAATGAGCTGGAGGCGAATATATTTCACGTACGCGTTGTTGAAATCTGTCCGCATATTCCGACTGAAATATTGCGCCGGTACTTTTTTTAATGTAACACTTTATTTCTATCCGTTCCTCAGATCGGTATAAATACACGGAGAGAATTTTTCTCAACATTTATCCTGAAAATCGTGTAATCGTGGGACGATTTGACATTTTGGAGAGTTTTATGAGAGTTTGTTGAAATTTTACCATACATTTTACTAGTAAAGTGTGTGCTAAGTATAATTACTAGTAAAATGTATGGTAAAATTTCAACAAACTCTCATAAGGGCCTTCAAGATGCCATGTTGTCCCGCGATTACATGATTTTCAGGGTAAATTTTAAGAGAAAATTCTCTCCGTGTACCTCGGTTAAATCACGTTATTTTCTGCAGGCCTCAATGTCGCTCAATCGAGTGCTGTTTTTTTAGTTTCACATATTAATTAATTTTATAATATTAAATGGATATATTGAATTTGTCAATAACAGTGGTAAAAGTTGAAGGACGGCGAAAAAGGTTGACCCACATTATGAATTATATCATTATGCATAACTGACTGAATATTGTAATTGAAAAAAAAAGGATTTCAGCTTCTCATCATAAATGCAAACTAGGCTCTGTGACAAAAATTCGGTAAATTCGACGAGCACGTCAAACGCTGCGCCAGGCAAAATTTATTCGCAGGTTAGACTACGCTACACGATATACGTTTCCATATGCACATCAGTAGAGACATGAAAATCTTATTTCCTCCGTCGAGTTTCTGCGTGTTATTCACGTTGGCGGCCGACTTTTCGGTGCATGATAAACGAAGTTCTCTCCGTGCGAACAAAGTTTCTCGCCCCGCGTACATCGTACAGTGCGCGCGCACCTGTGTAGCAAAGGTGGGCACAGGATGTCGTTAGGCGAAGGTTGAAGCATTAATCGGATGTCTCTCTCTTGCAGGAGGACTTGGAACCTCGCGAGGATGCGGGACCGGCTCTCGTGGTACATGGTCTTCTTGATTCTGCCGACAATCCTCTTGGCCAGGTCGCTCGATAAAGGTAAGCGGCGAATAAAGAATCTCTTCTTCTTGAAATAAGTGTGTACTTAACAGCACGCTTCTCTTATTTTACACGTTTACGAAATAACTGGGAATTTATCGTATAAAAACGAACGTTTGCTTATCCATTTATTTATTAAACGGCTATTGTTTGCAAAAGAGAACGAATTACCTTAACGCCCTCAATATGTTTTTCGTTCAATCATTCAAATTATGTACAGAGATAACAATCGCATAAAATATTTTCCACGTCATTAAGCTGCGTCAAAATGAGCTTCGAGCGTAAGATATACAATTGTACTGGAAACTAAATAGAATTGCGAGTTAGTTTTATCGCTATTGGCGTCATTAATTTCTTCGTCATACAAGAAAGATGAAAAATACCAATAATAACGTACACGTACAATGGGTTAGATAAGATGGGAGATATATTTCGTCACGTGAGCGGCATAATAATGCGCGGAGACACGGAGCTTGATAAATTCCTAGGCGTTGTATCGTTAAAAAGTGCTAGGAGCTGGCCCTTTCTGTGTATTGAACGATAGGGCCATTATAATGGCACGACTGCGGTTCATAAAGGGAGCCTTTCAAATTTTGCGGAATTATGGAATGCCGCTTATATCGGGTGAAGTGAATAAGGCTTTCGCTTTCGATTGGCACGGAGGTCCGCGAGAATGCCTTTTCAGCGTCCGCGATGGAGCCGTCAATAATGCTGCTCTACAGATTACAATGCAATTACAATAATTTGTGACAAGCTTGCACTTCTCTCTTTTTCAAACGCTTTCACGCATTTAAACATCGTCGAAAATTGGAAAAAGTCAGGTAAAGGGATATTTCCTCTCGCGCGAGCGCAGTGCTCTTAACGTAAAAGCTCCTTAACGTTAATCGCAGGTGAAATTTGAATGAGGCGCTCGAAAAGTTAACGCTTGAATTTACATTCCGCGGTACAAGTCGCATTAGGGCGCATTACGTTCATAAAGTATTAATCCCATCTAAAAGAAGCGATATCGCGAGCAATCTTCTAATAATTACTTCCTCAGCAATTATGCCGAGGTGGAGTGCAAATTATGCACTTCATATCGCATTTTGATGCATCACTGCCCAAGATCGAAAGGCCTACCTATTTTTCCAGCTTTCGATTGCAATCGAAATGCGTTACAGTTAAGGCAAACTTATTATATTCATGTTACTAGAACAAAAAGTCGAACGAAGAAGAGATGACGAGATATGAATATTTAGTTTCGATTTATTTTTTGATAAGTTGCAATAAAGGCAACTAATTAATATTCACATATCTTCTTCTTCTTCTTAGCGTAAATTTTTCTTAAAATTGAAAAATATGTTGGTCGTTAAGATATTAAAAGAAAAAAGAAAAATTATGGGCAATGTGATTTCTCGCTTGGCTTTGTAGTGCGAGTAGCTGTCAGTGCGAAAATCATGTAATATGTATTTTGACAGAGTGTCAACGTCAGATTACGTCTTCTTCACATGAAAGAAATCTTAATGTGTGAAGAAGATCACGAATAAATATAAATTAAAACCGAACAGCGCGCGCAATGCTATTTCCAATAAAGTATTTAATACCAATTTATATTATTATTAAAGTAAATAATTCGATCATTTTTGCCCATAATAAATGAAGATTTGCAATTTAGTAATATACATTTGTATACACCAACTATTGAGGTAAAATCTCTAATCTTAGTAATTAGAATTTAAGTAACAGCGATTTTTGTTTCGAAACATTTTCTCGATTGAACAGAATTAATCGTTAATTTAATATCTAATTTAATCAGTACCAATAAGTCCGCAGAATGATACGCAAAACGTAGTAACAGCCACGGAACAAATTAGAAATATTAGGTATGGAATTTTCAATTTCGTAGGCGGGACAACGAATTCTCAACGTTTTTTTTTTGTTGTTTGTCTCTCGGCACGGTGACGTACGATGTTTTTGCGTGCCATCGTGCACGTGAAGGTCGCTGCGGTATCACTCGCTCGCCGAACGTCGACCCGGCAGGCAGTGGCGAGAGTCGCTCCGTGCGTGCTATTACTTTTGCGTTATCGGTTTCCAAGACTCGATCGCGACGAATGTAGGGATAAAACGCAATCGATTTGTACACCTTTATCAGTAACGAGTAACGTTCCTCGATTATTAAGTTCCTACAACTTGTAATGAGAAACGAATTGCGTGTTGAGGCGACGGCTCTTTATCAACGTACATAGGTATTTCACGAGACT